TGAATCATAATCCTCTGAAGAGGAATACGATACCGTATATTCCTCTCTCTCTCTCTCTCTCTCTCTCTCTCTCTCTCTCTCTCTCTTTTTGTTTTTTTAAACGGTGACGGCCTTGAGATATCATCAGGGAACTGACTGGCCCCAGGTGATTCAGAATTATTTGATCTGCTCATCATATTGGTATCGGGACTCGAAATCAGGTCGGTATTTTAGTAATAGTTCATGGGTGCACCGACTGAGCTAGGCCCTTTGGTCATTTGCTTGTTGTTCTTCTTAGTACTCTCCTGCCTCTCATCGTTCCTCCGGTAGGATCCCAAAGTCCCTCTCGCTTCTCCGACCCCAGAGCGTACCTGTTGCTCTTGAGGATTCCTACAAGTCTCGATACTCCGATCCCAACATGCGTCTCGGTTCTCCGATCCCGACGTGCATCTCGCTCCTCCAATCCTGCTCCTCGGATCCCAACGTGAATATCTCTCTCTCGACATCCCAATGTGTGTGTCACTCCTCGGATTCCAATGTGCGTCTGGTACCTCTGACGCCAACGTCCATCTCGCTCCTCCTCCGATCCCGCTCTTCTGAGTCCCAACGTGTCTATCTGCCTGTGGTCCCTCCGATCCCACAACGCCTCTCGCAAATCCGACCCCGACGTCCATCTCGCTCCTCCGATCCCGCCCATCTGATCTCCACGTGCCTACCTCTCCTCCGGTCCCAACGTGCCTCTCGCTCCTCCGATCCCAACGTACCTCTCGCTTCTCCGATCCCAATGTACCTCTCTCTCCCCTCCTATCCCAACGTGCCTCTCGCCCCTCCCATCCCAAAATTCCTCTCGCTCTTCCGATCCCTCCGGTCCCAACGTACCTCTCGCTTCTCCGATCCCAATGTACCTCTCTCTCCTCCTATCCCAACGTGCCTCTCGCCCCTCCGATCCCAAAATCCCTCTCGCTCGTCCGATACCAACGTGTCTCTCGCTCCGCCGATCCCCATATACCTCTTTCTCCTCTGATCCCAACGTCGCTCTCGCTCCGGGGTTGGGGTTTGATCCCCGGAGCCCTGGGCCGGGGATCCCCGAACCTCGCCCCCTCCAAATCACCCCCGCCACCTCCAAATCACCCCCGGCCCTGCCCCACCCTTGCCACCATCCTGCCTCCCTCTCATCCCTTCTTCGTCTCCATCTCTGGTCACCTCCTCCTGCTGTCCCCATCAGCCTTAGTGTCCGGATCGGGCTCCTTAAACACCGATCGCGGCGTGCCTATCTGACTAGCCCGTGTCTCAACACGAAAACCTCCGTCTAGTTCAATTTTTCATCCCGTCTTCTTCTGTCCGTCCTTCTCCTCGTGTCGTTTCTCCTGTCACCATCGCCTTCCACTCCGTCGTTTTGGTTTCTTCCTCCTGCTGCCGCCCCCATCATCCTCCGTCGTTTCGTTTTCTTCCTCCTCCTCCTCTTTCTCTGCCCCTGCGCAGTTGGCACGATTTCGAACGAGGAGGAAAGGAGGAGGAAGAAATCGAAATATGTGTGTGTGTGTGTGTGTGTGTG